AGCTAGTACCACATGCTGACAAGATACATTCAATAATATTTTTATCAAAAACTATACCTTAAAGAATAAAAAATCATATGAATATGATGTCTATGTTGTGTGTGGTAGTCGATCAGCCAAATAGAAGTACATATGTCCCATAGCTCCAGTGAGAAATTCATTTTTATACCTTGATTCCATAATCACAGTTTCACCATCGTTAATCTTAATTGAGCCTAGTTTTGGATAGCATACAGACATTCCAACAACATAACCTTTTTCATTTCCTGCTTCATTTCCCGTTCCATATCTCGGTGTTGATGTGCATAATATCCTTCCATCCTAATTAATTAATCGAATACAAAATAAATGAATTAAAAAATAGAGATTATATGCACACACTATTAAAAAGTTTAATTCGACTATATATGAAGTCAATAAAACTTGCTATCACTTAAGAAAAAATATTAAGCAAATACAAGTTTAACAAAATTTAGTCTAAATAATATTAAACTTTACCTGTCCATATAATGTAGCATTAACAACACCAGTATGCATATGAGCAGTGCCGTAGATAAGATAACCACCTTTTTTCATTGGGATGCTTGCTTTTTGAACATGAACAAGATCAATACTATTATTTTCAGGAATAGTATATTCTGCCTGTGAAAAATTAAGAAATATTTGTTAATTACTCTCTTCTAATGTACAAAATAATATAAAACTATTATCATAAGATTTTAGAAATTAACTCTTTTTTATTTTACATGGGAATGCGAAAGTTAATTGTTAGTATATATTATGTTAAAATCTAAAGTATTCTTGAATGTACTTCTCAAATGTACATATTCATTTACTTAAGTTATGCCTTTATCATGATGTAAATTAGTTGATCATGAAAATAGAAAATATAATTTAAATAGCTTATTTACCTGACAATCATGAATTACTTCAGAACCATTTATTATAACACGATCAGTGGAATCAAGTACATAAAATCTAACAGGGATTTGATGTTGGTCCCAATCAATCCATGTTATTGTGTATCTTAGAGCAAGTTTTCTATATGGCGCTTGAAATCCATTTTTCAATTTGCATTGAAAGTAATTTTGGCAACAAAAGATTCCTCCTTTATATTCATGGGACAATGGTTTACCATGTATATCCTTTGTCTCATTATAAAAATTTTCTGGGAGATTAAATTGGTCACACCTACATTCACTACAACTTTTTCTATCTTCCGTGCCACGTGTATCAATGACCATGATGCTAAATAGCCATTTCTCTTCCCAACCTTCTGTAATGTTGGTAGGATTGCCTAGTTCAACCGCAAAAGGATCTGGAAGCTTTGAACTGGTTCCTCGGGATTCACTTCCCAAACCCCAATAATGTGGTAGAATCCACGTGTTGCAGGTTCCATCATTTCTTTTGTAATCGGGACCCCCAAAAGGTTTGGAATGATCATAAATGTCATGTGACATATTTTTATCCTTGTTTAAGTGATATCTTATAGCAAACCAATGATGAATGTATGTTTCATACAATGGTACAGAATTCCCTTGCTCGTCAACTAAATCAACATCAAAGCTTTTGACTCCAATATGACCACTTGGAAATTCAATATCTTCAATTCCTTTAGCTAGAACCTCACCGGGTCCCAATTCAAACTTTTCTGACAAATATGTTGTTGATTTGATTTGATTTAGATTCTTATTTTGCTGTGAGTAAGTTGTGCTTGATAGTATCACAATTATTGACAATGAAAAAAGAAAAGCTTTAGAGATAAATCTCGTGTTTACCTGCATGAAAATTATAATTGTTACATGATTAAATATGAATGATGCTTATATTTTTTTTTCTTTTGTGAAAATTTATTGATAGATAAATATTTAAATGAATGCTAAAAATGTAAGAAAATCAATGTGTACCGCGTGATAAATCATAGTAAATATTTTCTGTTTTTGGAACTTTTGAGAAATTTTGAAATTAAAACTTTATTGAATACTACTTTGTGAAGATGTGACGTTCTTGCACGTTTCTTACTTTTATAGTAGAAATATATCAAGTTTTCATAGGTTTGAAATATAAAAAAACAAAATACATGTCTATTTTTGTATAAATCCAACCCATATGTTGAGTTCTCTTGTTTTTTTGGTTTCTTATGTGTTTTTTTATTTATAGGTAAGTATTTAAAACAACCAAAAATTGTTAAGAATATACTTAGTATTTGACAATACAAGTCATTCTAAAAATATTTATAGCAATCTATTTACGGGTATATTAAGTAGATGTCTATTTTAGATTACATGTCTACCAAAATTATTTTACAAAATAATTTTATTTTGAACTATTAGTTAGTTACAACTTTTTGTTGTTATATTCTTATTTATTTATTATTGCCGAAAAAATTCACCAAATTAAAATTTGTTAATCATTCATAGTAAAATCAATGTTATTTCATTTAAATGTTAACCGTTGGACCACATATATTGTCTCTTTTTAAAATATTAATCAATGTATATCTTGTAATACTATGTGGTATCACCCTTTATTAATTATCTTTAAAAATAGGATTTAAAAAAAATTATATTAATGTATATTTTACATAAATGATTTATTTTATCTTTTAAGATTATAAACTAATCACTAAAAATGGTATTGGGCCATATGGCTTTCTTAAAAAAAATAAAATTAATTAACAATAATAACTTTGTTTTATTTATTGTTTTCTATATAAAAACAAATGTACTCCTAATTACAATAGTCAGTTGAGTACTTTTTACTATCTAATCATACTTAGAATATTCCTAGTTTATTTGTTTTCTCCTTTCTGATAATGTTGTCCATACTCTTTTGATTTCAAATCATTTATTTAATATCCCTTGTTTTCCATAATCAAGATTAATAATTTTTTTATAGATTTTAAGAAAAATTAGTACCTAATATTATACTTCAATATTTTCCCCTAAAATCCTTTGGCATCCAATATTATCACAATGCGTCAAGATCACACATTTTGATGGTCATTTATTCTACTCTCTCCTATCTTTGAGTTTGTCCTTGAGGGATCACTAAGCACCTTGAATTATGTATCATGTATGTGTGTATTTTATGATTACTAACCCTTAACCAAAAATCAAAAAATATGTATGTATTTCCTTTGATGTTTTATAGATATAGAGCCAAGTGCATTCATCTCCTAACCTAGGGTTCTGAGGGTTGACCCTCAGTCAAATGGCTACTCAATGGATTTAAAAAACTTGAATTTCAAGGATATGATTATGGAATCAAAGTTCTTTGGTTTGAAGACTCTCTTAACTTCATTTGGTCATATTTGTCTCAATGTTTATAGTTGGATTTATCAAGAAGATTCATAGGTGTATGTGTTTATTTTCATGTCTTCTTCAACAAGTTTCATTGAGATATAAGCCCATTATTACATGTACTTCAAGACAACATCATTCCAAGTTCTAACGTGATTCATCATGCTCTAATTTGCAAAAAAGTTCAAGAGATACAAAGTTGATTAAAGACGTTTGACATAATTTGGAAAGTCCTTGATTCTATGCTCACAAGTGCATTACTTTCTCAATTTTCAACACTCTGAAGTGTTTATTTTTCCATGGACTCTTCTTATCATTATACACAACTTCTCTTTGTATGACAACATCCAATTGTGAAAGGAAAATCATCAAAGGTTGAAGAATGTTACAAGTCACTTTTGCAAGATTTGAGTAAGGGTTTGTTGACTTCTCAACACCATAGCTTGCTCACTTTTTGAGAGTTTTAAGCGATTTCAAAGCCATTATGCTCATAAAAGAGTCCATAACAACTTTTCTTCAAGGATTTAAGGCCAATTTTGAGTGGAAGGTCATTTAAGTTTGAAAAAGATTACAAGTCCTTTGAGGAAACCTTTGAAATCTTAAACTTGACTTCAAAAGATCACAACTTGGTCATTTTTTATCTACTTGAGCTCATTCATTTTTCACAATAAGCTTGAGGATTTCTATTACAACTTCTCTTCTAGGGCCTAAGTCCAATTTTGAGTGGAAGTTCATTTAAGTTTTGAAAATATTATAGGCCATTTATGGATTTCTCAAGACAATTTCATCATCTTCCAAAGACCATAACTCTTTCAATTTTCATGATTTTTCAGTGATATCAATTCCACAATTTAATTTGAGGAGTATATTCAATTTCATCTTCAATGATCAAGAGCCAATTTTGAGTGGAAGGGCTTGTAAATTTGTAAAACATTTACAGGTCATCTTAAAGCTCTACACTTAGAAATATTTTGAAGTATGAAAATCAGTGTGTTTTTCACAAATTCAAATGGACACAACTCTCAGCTCAAGTATCGAAATGAAAATATTCAAAGAACATTGTCAAGCTTGATTATTTAGCTTTATAAAGAATCCAAGATTGCATCCTAAAGGTCCCCGAGTAGTGAGCTATGAATTGTTGAAGTTGGCTCCATGGAATCTATTTTTTGCTTTGAGTCAGAATTTTTACCATGATTAAACTTGGATTACAGGTCGAATTACTCAAAGTTTAGTTGCTAAACATGTTTAACTAATTGTCCATATGCGTTTTGATAAGAATTTCACTTGGTGTGAGGTCATTTTGATGCATTTTAAGTCACGCATTTGGCCTGATCACAACCAGCTCTTTGCACGAATTTATCACTATTTCTCTCAAACCTCATCACCATTCACTTTTCCTATAAATAGAGACTTTCTCTACATCATTTTGGAAAGCTTAGAGAGCCATAAAACCTCTGCCCAACTTCGTTCATACCTCACTTTTTTGAAACTTCGAATTCTTGTTTAGAGAATCTCCAGTTCCAAATTCTATTGCATAAGCATCATTGAACTTCCCTGAAACTTCCCCAACAAGAATCAAGTTTTGAGCAAGCCTAAGTCGAGCTATCCAAGTCCAGTTTTAGAGCAAATTTATCTTACTTTATTCAAGTAAATTTCACAACCATTTAACTCCAAATAAATTTCTAAGATGTAGCCCTTTCATCTCTGAAGCTCGTGCTTCTTCTGCTTTTTGTTTTCATGGAGAATTTGGCATTTAATTTCAAAATTCGTTTTATATTTTATCTCTGGTTTTTTCCAAATTGACTACGTTGTAGTTTATATAAATATTTTAGGAGAATACAATTCAGATCATCTTGATGAGATGAATCCAATGATACCACTATGATTTTCTAATGACCAATGATCTATGTGTCGCTCTTCAACCAATGACCCTCAGCCAATTGTTTTAATTTGATTGGAGGGAATTTTTTTACTTCTACGCGCGTGCATTGACTCTAGTTCAACATGTATACTCACCTTTGGTCAATCTAGATTTCCAGCGTGTTTAAAATGGCCAGATCCAACGTCCCTCGTTTTTTGACATTTTTTTTCTTTTCAAATGCGATTCAGTGCTCCACTCATTAATGACCATGACATGCACAGCGGGCCGAATCCATTCGATTTTATTACTAACGCGTTTTAACATTGATCATATGGTCCATATTATTTAGGATTTATTTTATTTTCTAATTTTTTTACTTTTTAATTGTTTTAAACTTCAAAAAATCATAAAAAAAACATTTCAAATTCAAAAATTATGAAAAATCACAAAAAAATACTTTTGAATATTCTCTTTATGATTGTGAATTTTTCATAATTTTATTTTGTGATTTGATGTTTTTTTATGATTTTTCTCATTATTTTAATCATTTTAATTCTTAAAAAAGTGTTTTTAAACCTTTAAAAATTATGAAAAAATTATGGAAGGATCCAACGATAGTTTGACAATAGTTGGTGATCTCATTTGATTTTTATTTTCAATGTTGCTATTTTTTTGTGATTTTTGATTTATTTCACTTACTTTTGTTTGTTTTTTTTAAAAATAGTTTCTGACTTTTAAAAAAATACAAAAAAAATTGTGAATGTACTTTGAGGTATTTCTATTTTTTCCATGCCTCCAGATTCCATTTATTTTAAGTTTTGATTGTGGTTTGATATTTTCCCTTTTATTTTCAATTTAAAACCTTTTTTAAATCATTTTTTATTACTTTTTGTTTTTAATTGCAATTTTATTTTTGTTTATATTCTGGATGATCTTGGACCATGTGGATTTTAATCATATGCTTCATTAACATCATTGGATCTTGGGTGTTGAGTTAAACTCCGCCAAAATGGATGAATGATTTTAATGATAGATTGACTAAATCTTTGGTTTAAATGTGGGATTTACTTTTTTTGATTACTTCATCTCCTTTCATCTTATCCCTTTCTTGATTACTTTAAATGATCATTAGTGGCCTAAGCTTCTTGCTTTAAATTGTCCAAGTATGATTGATTATTGAACCATGGCTTAAGACCTTTGAAGCTTGTTATCAGGAGGCTTTGGTTTTACCAATATTCTAACAAGTGTTCATCAACTTTGACCTAAGTTCAATCTTTAATAATCATTGATCATTTATCATGGATTAATCTCCTTTTTCCTCTTTAAGTGATCATTAGTGGCACACACTTTCTTTTTGAATGTCCAAGTATAATTGATTATTGAACTTTGGTTCAAAACCTTTGAAGCTTGTTGTTAGGAGGCTTTGGTTTTTATCAATCCTCTAACAAGTGTTCATCAACTTTGACCTAAGTTCAATCTTCAATTATCATTGATCATTTATTATAGAAATTCATCTCTTCTTCATCCCTTTTTCTTTTATTTTTCTTTTTGATTAATTTGGATAAGTCATTTGAAATTTAAGTTCATCTAAGCTTATGGATTGTTGATGAACTTTCAACAT